AAAAAAAAAGAAGAAAGAAAAAAAAAATGATATGCAAGAAGGTGGCCGTGAGGTCACCCGTCCCATGTTAGGCAGATAATCAGCAGGGGAGGAAATAGACGGACCCCAAGCTCTGATGTCTACCCCTGTGCACTACTGTAACACGGTTATGACGTAGCGCGCAAAGTTTAGGATTTATATGTTGCGAGGGACAGGAAGCCCGGCTATGCCAGATCGACTTCAAAGTAGATTAGCTTTGCAAAGATATTGCGATTAGTGAAATGATTATAACTGTGTAGAATATTGAAATTATTGTTTTACTTGAACAGGAACCGTGGAGCACAATTTTCATTGGAATGTGCGCTCAATCGGGACGGGACATCTAGCGAGAAGCGTCAGCCCCCTTCCCCCTCAAAGTTGTAATGGTTCACGCCTAAAGAGACTATATAGCGAAATAAGCCATAGACTTAAGTCACAAGATTGTCTCGATAATCAAGTGCGAGAAAAATGGGTGGTCAGCCCTGAGAAAGAAAACATGRGACAATACTCCTCTTTGCATTATAACCTACCAACCTCATCTAACCGGGCTTCCTTTGTCGAATATGCCCCAGTCCACCTCCTTTACACTCAMAGTCGAAGTGAACAGTAAATTTGTTGGGGACAAACCGTGGTATGAAATATCATTTTCCCGCTATCTTTAATTCTGTGGTAAGCCACAGCGTCATGATAAAATAAACAAGGACTGTTTGTCACTAGATCGACACGTCACTTCCCACACGTAAGTACGATTTATGTTCGTTATCACCTATAGCAGGACACGGGGGGCTACTGGTTGACCTGATGATCGCCGTAAATCCCMAAAATACTCGCAAAAATCAACGTAAAACATTAAAAAAGCATAACTAAGAGCAAGAAGAATGATTGAACGTTTTTTCATTAAGTCGTTTTTTTTCATAGCCGTTAATTGTCTGCCTTTGTTCGTTCAGAAGGCGGTTGCTTTATTTCCTCTGCATCATGGCGACCCAATTCTTGATGACACAGCGAAGTAAAGTTTGATGTATGAGTTGTTTCCGCGATTCTGGGCGTGACTTCCTTGTTTACCTGGTTATATGCATCATAATGAAGTCAAACTAACCCAAAGTAGAATAATCGAATTATAGCATTCACGCCTTTATTGGAATCGGTGAAAGTTTTCATATAAGACTTTAGATTATAAGCTTACAGTGTACTAGTGTCTTGCTTGCTTATTGGCAAAAATATACATTATTATTGGACAAATTTGTGTACTCAAAATGGCGGTAAGTTCTTAATAGTTTTTAACAAAACTTAATTAGTTTATTTCATAATAGTCAGGTGAGAGAATATCCCAAAATTGTCTGTAATAAGCCAGGAAAAACTGGACCTTTGCCATTTCATATCATGGCTGYCACTTTCAGTAGCATAGGTAGATATTAGTGTCTGTCTGTGATACTTAGCGCAAATGTAATACTGAGGTTTCTGCAAGGCAAGGCTTGGYTGTTCTAGTATAAAAATGGATTATGAACTCTTGTGTTAACACAAGTTGCTTCTCTGTAAATTCTATAATGACTAGGATGAGGGGGGACATAGGAGGTGTCGGAACCTGCAAWTCTACCAAGAAAAATCATTCATGCAGGAAAAATCACTAAAATCTTCAAGTTCATAAAATCTGCATTTGTTAYGTTATGAATRATCTGTTAAGTTAAAGCCATTAAAAGTATCCAAAATCTGAAAAAATTATAACTTCAAAAATTAGSTGAATCTGCCAATGTGAAAGCCCCTAAGTCTCCTCTGGTCAATAATCAGATTCTARTAGTGTTGTGAGATACAACAGTCAATTTGAAGGTAGTGTCTGTCTGAGTCTCCAGGATCACCAGGGCGCCCTTGCTGTTTGGCTAGAGAAGTTGAGATAATGACACCATATTGCATACCCAACTGTGACTATAGCTAGCATTTAGTGTTTAAATTTAAAACAATTTTTTTACAATATCAATATGATAATTTATTGGCCAAAATATTGACTAGAATTTCAACATACTGTGTGTGCAAATGAGGCAAGATTTCAAATAAAAAAAATCATTCAAATAAAAAAAAATCAAATACCTATAACACACTCTGTGGTCTTAACATGACATTGTTTTTACCTCAATGTTTACATTATCAATTACATCAATTTCTAAAAAAAAAGTACTAAATTAAGTATAACACATTCYAATCCCACCTTACTTGAAATAGAAAATACTAAAAATAGTTTTAAGTCACTCCTATTSTTCTTTAATTGAATACTTTGAAATCCTTGGTGGGTTAGGCTTTGATTTGATTGATAGCCTAAAGCTGCACATTCATGATATTTATAATGAACAACATTGAACAAGAAACACTTCTGAATTGCTTTGGAAATTGTAACAATTATATATAGGAGCTGAAATATCATGGTAATGAATAGATTTGTTTAGTAACCATTTCACAAGGTAATCTTATTGTTGCCTTATTTAACTCAAACTAATAATTATTATCTTTTCCTACAGAGCCAGGGTTATACTTCTTTTGATCAGTTAATCATTATGGAGATTTGGGTGTACCTTTCCTTCTTCTTCTGGTACAGACGAATTACTAAATGGCTTTTGCATTTAGCTACTGGTTCTTCGGAGTTGCAGAGGATTTGTTACAAGACACAGCATGGGGCAGGAAGAACCAAGCAAATCGGTATGTTTAGGTTGCATTTAGGTGTGAAAGCCGAGAGTTTTAAACTGAGAGTGCTAGAATGATATGAATGGATTTTGTGCAATATAAAGTTAATATTTTCTTTCATTTGTTCTTTAGAGCAATCACTAAGGAATTCAAAAACTCTGGTAAGTTCACTTTTTTATCCTACCAAGAGAGGCGCTAAAAATTGTGTTTAAGCATGTAGCCTGACTGGTGATAATGGATTACATTGTATACCTTGTACAATTTTTTAACTGATACAAAAATTACCTTTTGTACTTTTTAAAGGCTATTAGTGAAATTCCAGACAAACTTAATGTCTGYATAGATGATGCAGTTGCACTTATCATGACAACAAAGAAGATAGACATTGGAAAGGAAAAACTGTAAGTGAATATTTGTTATAAATTAATTAAAAAAATATAGCTAAATTCAGAAGCAAATGGAGAAGACCCAACATTAGCTTGTTTGAGTAGTACAGATAAAGAGTTTTTCAAAATGGAGTGCTTTCTTTTTAAATCTAAAAAGATTTAATTCAAAGCGAATCTTATTTAAATTCATTCAATTCCTTTAAACCTATTTGATTTGACATAGATTCTTTTTGATCCAAATTATTTCATTCCCAATACTAATAGGTAAATGTTCCATTAATCGTAGATTTTATGATGCCATGAAAATCAGCTTRAGCCAAATATGTGGCTATTCAGACTTATTTCGAACTATAGAAGAATGTCGTGGAGCGAAGTATTCATCAGAGAATCCTGAACAYGAAGAAAAACTCTTAAAGGTAAAAAGTGTTACGATAACTGCGATATAATTCAAAATGTTGTTGGTATATTCTTCAACAAGGAAAATACYGATWTTTYAMTAGAAATTATGTCTAGACACGAACMARGGTTTAGTTTGAAGTGGATATTTTACTTTCACTCTTAGAAGCATRTACTCATCTTAATTATTACTGAGTGACATACACCACCTTATGATATTATAAATTTGTGACAGAGTGATGTTATCGACTGGAATGCAACACTTGGGTTGGGATTATAGCTGTCAAATAATCCTTCACATGAGCTTGGAGAGGGGAGGGGAGATGGGGTTTAAAGTGACTTCTTGAAAGTCTAATGTACTTAATATGTGTTTAGTTATGGAACCTGTTAATGCCAAACACACCTTTAGAAGATAGGATAACCCAACAATGGGGAGACATTGGTTTTCAAGGCAAAGATCCAATGACAGACTTCAGAGGAATGGGAATGCTAGGTTTAGATAACTTACTGTAAGTATTGATGCTTGGAAAAAACACAATATATGATCGACATCAAGGCACTGTCCACTTTGCATGCAGTTTAAGGAAACTTGCTATAGGGTGAACGTTGATCAACACTATGCAATATATGGCATGCACAGTGCTGTAAATGTGTTGCAAAAAGTAGAACTGAGTACTACACTTTAATTGTGTAAACCTTACATTTAAAAAGTGTTTGTATTTGGTTGTAATTCTTGTTTTGTATTGCAGATATTTTGCTTCAAARCATACATCTGCTGCAAGGAAAGTGCTTTCTGCTTCACACCATCCACACTATGGGTATGTTGACATCATTATCTTGTTACAACCACTAGAGCGGATTTCGTATGAGTGGGACAACGTTACCGCACGGTTTCCGCACAGTTACCGGACCTGGCGTGCACAATTTTGGTGAACCAATGAAGCACTAGAATTTGCTTACAGTACGATTACGGTTACGGTTACAGTACCGTCCGTGTCCCACTCATACGAAACTGACTCTATGATCACGCTCGTCTAGCTACCTACTAGTAGCATCAATGGTCTTAGTTGCAATCCCTATAGGAACTTCCATCATGGAAAACACAGCATCAGCATTAATATAGCTGTCTTGTTTTAATTTATAGRTATTCATATGCTATTGTTGGAATTAACATCACTGGTATGACATATCATCTACTCAAAGCTGGAGCTTTGAAAACACATTTTTATAACTACAAAMAAGGAAAACCAAGTGTTGCTGACTTCCATGAAGTGTATTGTAAGTACAAACGTTTTACCTCTAGTCTTAATTGCCAGATTGCTAGGTGGAGGAAAAGTCTTGCAGCATCGCAGCAAAAATTAGCTTGAAAATTTGAAAAAAAGTTGAAAAAGAACTACCATTTGACTGAGACTGGCATGTTCTTTTTGTATGTTTTAGGTTCAATGTTTTATGAATTCAATTCATTTTGGTTCAATGAAAAGCCAGAAAGTGTCATGGAATTTAACAGGATCAAAGAAAAGTTTGAAGAAAAGATCACCGCTATGTTGATAACAGATGCTACAACACAGATATCATTGAAATACAAAGAAAGCTTCAATAACATGGGTTCTTTAACATCAGTTAATTCAATGGATACACACTTTTAGTGCCTTCTTGTTAAACATCCAKTAATACATACGTAGTATTTTGGATATGATAGTCTAGGGTCAGTTTTACAGAGTTAAGTAACACTATTTATTATAAGCTTATAAATATACAATGCAACATGATTATTTCTAGTGGACACCGTTACCGCACGGTAACCGCACAGTTACCGGACCTGGCCTTCACAATTTTGGTGAACCTATGGGGCACTAGAATTTGGTTACAGTACGATTACGGTCACAGTACAGTACCGTCCGTTTCCCACTCATACGAAATCTGCTCTACTATTATAATAAGTATTGGTCAGTGAGCCATATGAAGGTGAAAACAAAAGTAGTGTAATGTATTTTTATCCTTGCTGGAAGCATATGACCCCTGGTAATGCCAGATAGAATGATGACAATGATTATAATAATTACTCCAGTTAGGGTAAGGATAATGATGYAAATATCATTGAGTTAGAGTGAAGTAAAAAAAACCCCTGCGAAACAGATATTATACTAAATATCTGCAATGTTTTCTTTCTTGTCTATTTGATTATCACACTTTAAAAGTCAAATTTTGTTCTTTTGTAATTACTTCATTCTAATAGGTTATGGTATGCAACGACATGAATTTGAGAAGCAATTTTTTCAAAAACTCCAACACTTAAAACATTTTCTAAAGACTCCAATTCGTTTTTAAATACTATTTCATTCTTTATATAAATTTGATATAATTGTAAATATTATGGATTGCTGAAAAAAGATGTACAATATTTATTAATTATGCTCTAAAGTAAAAATATAAAGTATGATAACTTTTCACATAGTTTCCTTGTTCACTAATGTGATTACGTGTTCAAATCATGTATAATATAAGTCCGAGTTCAAGTGAAAAATGCAAATGGCAAGGAGAAATGCAATATACAAGTTCACACTAGCAAAAATGCCTACACACATGCAAACGCAAGTGCAAGAAAATAAAAATTCAGGTTTATGAGGAATTTGTACTTCATTGCTATTTTTACTGCTTTGACATATGGACTTTCAAAGCAATATGATATCCAGTCAGGATGCAATGATAGATAAAAAAGACAAAAGGCTTCTTAGTCTTGCATGCTGACTAGCTTCTATGCAAAGGAATGGCCACCCTTTGATTGCCAAGTAGAGAACTGCAATCGAGTCTATTTGTCTGGTTGAAATTCCCAATAGACCTCTGAAGCKTTTACATTATGTACCTTATAGGAATTGTGGGATATGTTTGGGACAGAACATGGTAGATTTCTTTTGTCTTGTCAAGAAACTGATCCCACAATGCACTGAGAATCAAGTTAGTGATGTAAAAGGTTCTTAAGTCTATTTTGGATGTGATTTTGTCGTTACCCAACACTTCCTTTAAGTATGGTTTATTATTTACAACATTGATAATGCCAATACAACAAGACTATGATTCATGGAATTGTATTTATTTCACATTGGTTAGAAAATAATCTCTTGGCTTTACAATCTAGCACCTAAAATGATTTACTACTGTTAATACTGCTGCTCAAATAATAACATTCTCTGAACAACRCTTTCAATAAATTTTAAAAGGATTTTTATTTGTAAGAAGAGTATGTTATTTACCAGGATACCTGTGTAAGCTGCCACAGGAACCCCACTGACAGGGAAATATAATAATTTATAATGTTGCATGGCAGAGTGGAAAAAATGTAATTTTGATGTCCTTATGTGTGTAATAAAATCTTAGAATGTATAATGGGAGCAATTTGCAAAGTATTCTTGCGGTTCTTTGTATGTTCAGTTGAGAAGTTGTCGTATTTCCTTGTGCATCAGACACAAAAAGTCCACATAACTTTGTTGCGTGGCACTCATTCCTTTGTCTTCAACCAAGAAGTGTTTAAACCAAGGTTCAAGTTTGTCTCTTTGGCGRACAATTGTGAGCTGGGGAAAATGATAGGACATTGATAAATATTAGATGATTTGACAACAACCRCAGAAACATTTCCCTCAAGTGATAGTGTTGAAAAAGAAAATTACCTTGAGATAATGCCGTCTTTGACTGCGAATCTCAGCAATTATATTCCGTATACGCACAGAAATGGGGCTTTCAAGCTCTGGTAGCGATGTCTGGAAAAAAGATGAATAAAGTCAAAAGTTGTGATAATGACTGAACTGATTGTTTTGACTTGCTACTCAATCTGGCTGAGACAATTTATGCATGTCCGGATGATCACAAATGTGTTTTACAAACTCAATCACTGATTCTTGAAAAATCCTAGATCCGCTACTTGGAATTTCTTCATAACAAGTAAATTGTTGTGAAAGATGATCAAGTCAAACTGAAAACTGATAGCTACTACAATATTTGATATAGTATTTTTTTTATCATAGTCACTCACCATTTCTATGTCAACCTGACCAATGGTTGGCACACCRAACACCTGCTGTAATAAATTAGGATCAACTTGTAGACCAACCCACAAGAACAGCCCAATACCATTTTCTGAAAACAAAGATAAAATATATTGAGGATGAGACAATTGCAAGGAACTCCTCATCAGATAAGACAATTCAAGACTCAATGGCCAAGCAGGAGTTTAATTTCACTGTATTTTTCATTTTTCCACGTTTTCCATTTTCCAAGTTTGAATGCATTTATGTTTACTGAATTCATATCAATAGTAGTGGGAATGTGCATTATATATGTCTTCACTGTCAATATGCTTTAATTTAGGGGGCCGCTTTAACTATCAACGAATGTTGTGAAGGGACGTATTTCCTTACCTAGGACATACATCCCGTTATCCGTCATTCTATCAGCTGAGCATCTGATTTGTGTTGGGAGTGAAGTTGACTCCAAATCAGCATCATGCTACAACACAACCATATTGATGATAAATTGATACAACAGATATTAACCARTGCATTGAAATTGCAGCAAGTACAGTAAAATAACAAAGATAGACTTTTAGCGAGCATACTGCAAAGTTCTTTATTCTTATTTCTTATTATTTCTTGATACACACCACTGCAAATAGTCTGGGATAAAAGTAAGGGACAGAAACGGTCTGGTCCATAGACAGGACTTTCCTCATCAACCAATTTCTGTCATCAGAACTCATTTCTGAACCTGTAGGGAAGAAAAAAGAATAAAAAACAACAGTAAACCAAAAGAACATTAACTTATTCAAATGGGAATAATGTGGGATGATAAACGTTTGGGAAGCATGAATCAAAATCATCGTTTTGCAACCATTTTTCGAATAAAAGCATTCTGTAATGTATTATTGGGCATAACGAGATCATCAGCAAAATGGTTACCATAGGTAATAAAAACTAAATGATAAAGTAATAACAATACACTAACCTCCACTCAATGCATCATTCTTGAGAATACAGTTAACATACAAGGGCAATAACTTCATGCATTCTGGTAATATTAACTGGAAGAAGCAAAATTGATGTTATAATGTGAACAACATGTATACCTTTCTCTAAATGGCATGGTCACCTTCCAACCACATCAAAATTGCATGCCACAYGAAATTCAAGCTTACTAAGACATTAAAAACAAGAAAAACAACYCCTTGGAGCCCACTCAACTGACATACCCAAGCAAAAGTTCAAAAACATGGCCCTAAACAGTGAAAAGAGACCTACTTGACCAGCTGATGAAGGTGAAGCACAATTTCGTCGATAGCATGCCAAGATTTGTGCACACTGGTTGACTAATTTTTCTCTGATATCTTTTGGTGAAACTGTGAGTACTTGAGATACAGCTGGAAAACAAGGATTGAAGCATTTTTACACTCAATATCATCAAACAAAGGATGAGAAATGTAGCCCTTGCACTATTATTATAGGCAAGCAAATAGTTGAAACATTGTTTTCTTGTGGAACTACTTTTTTCAAAGGGCAAAAACACCTTAGAGGGTTCTGAATGGTTACATAAAACCCACCAAGCTTTGTTGTACTATACAAATTAATAGTGTTGCTGCACATGTTCTATCTTTAAACATCTGAGGATTCACATACTTAATTTCATTGCCAACAACAATTAAGTKCTCACCTTGTTTAGAGATGTAATTTACGAAAGTGTCCATTTCACARCATCTAAACAGTTCTGATAATTGCGTACAAGTGTTGCATGCAAGGTTATGGATACGAAGACGTCGCTGCCCGCTGACAGAGGTGTATAGCAGAGCRCATTGCATGTAYGCTGTACTGTCTTCTTGGAGTTTGTCRTCATGTTTGATTTCAACACCAATACACTAAAAACACAACCAMAGTTAATAYTATTTTTTTACTAAAATGCAGCCAGCACTGTCAAAACTAGYGACTCAAATWACTGCACTTATMGGTCTGGKMAGACTTCCTATGAGTGGAGTTAAATTCTGGTATTTAGAAAACAAACAAGACATCTTAAATTACAGTTATTTTAGTATACTACCCACCTTGTAAGGGTCAATACCAGCAAGCTCAATGTCTGTTGTGTTGCTCATGAAAAAGTTTCCATGAAACTCAACAGGCCGTAGTCCTAGCATAAAATATAATTCCTTTAGAATAATACATAGGCTTGAGATAAATAAAAATAAAAATACAAACCATCCAATAAATTGTGAATGGCTTATAAAATATTGTTTAAGGCTGGTAACATTGTGTGCACTGCAAGGACTGACAAGATTCAAGACAAGGTAGTATTGAAAGACAGGTTGTATTGTTGCATGAATTGGAGCAAAAGTAGATCCTTCTCAAGCAAGTACTTTTCTACAATTCTATTTCTTACCTGTGCTGCAACGCACTCTCATAACAGCATCAAAACCCATATTTGTTTCGATTGTTCTTCTTAAATCCTCTTTAAATTGTTCACCATGAGTATTCTCCTGTTAAAATGCAAAAWTTCAGTCAAACTTAATAGAAAGACAGCCTTCTTGGTACYRACAGAWGGACAAACATTAATACTGACCTTAAAGTAAGAATATCTAAAGATTTGTCCACCAGTCATACTTGCAGCAGAACCAATGGTAGCCAGGTCAACRTAGGCATTGGGGAATAAAAACATATCAATGCTGACRCCAGCCTCAACACAGTCTTTTGCAAGCTTTTCATAGAAATTGGTTTGAGGTCCTAGAATTGTCTGAAACAAATACAATTAAAAAATTATAAAATATTATCCTTTCAATAATAACACTTAAATAATTTATAAATCGATCGCTACCTTTTCTTTGTCGGTTGCAAGTAATTTCCTGTCTTCACGATTTTTTAATTTACCAGGTGCTTCTGCTATTGGTAAAGATGAGTTGAAGATGAACAGTTTTCCAGAAATGCCAGCAGACTGAGAGACAAAAAAAAAACATTGTTTATATATAAACTTCTTTATTTGGGAATCAGSCTATAATAATTTGTGTCAACCACATTTATAAATTTTCCAACAATCTCAGTACCTTGAGAGCMTCAACRCCAGCTTGGATAATTGGTCCAAGAACAGTTTCTGTTTCTCTGGCATCAGCAAACATGGTATTGATTTGCTCAAATAAACTATCAATAACACTTCTYGCTTCCTGRACATTGACCAGAAAACCATCCAGTAATGGTACAAACACATCTTCAACATCTGATACTACCATCATTTGAGGTTGGGCTAGGTTTTCCTGGAATTGAGACATAAAATAACATTAATTGAAATAAAATGTATGGATTAATAGATGAATGAATTAATGAATTAATAAATGAATGAGAAGACGGAACAGTGAAGGACTATTTGAAAACCACTAATGATGTTCTAACATGTTTGTGTAGAGTATGAAGTGTACAGATTTGTCCTGAATTTCTTTTTCACCTTAACATTGTAGAAATGAAGATGAGTACTGTAYGTAACAAACCCAACCCTGACTCTTGACTGTTCATCATTAAACTCCCTGAAAACATAGAAACCAATAATCAATATTCTACAAGAAAAACAAAATGAATGCAGATGAGTTTGATTGAGATATTTGAGACATATCTCTTTCCATACACATATTTTATACATTTCTCTAGAACAGGAAAATGTTTAATGGACTTAATATTAGAGGTTCATACTTTGGTAGATGATCAAGTAATTCACTAAGTTCCTTCATGAGCATTCTAACCATGCCACACTGTACACTTTGGTAGGATACATCAATCATGAAGATGTATGCTGGTGGACCTGGTAGCTTTTGGTCCTAGAAACAAAAACAAATCAAAACCTTAGTTGACATATCATCAAAGTACAAATCATAAAAATGGATATGTAGATAGTTTTTGAAAGTGAACAAAAACTTGGAATTAGACTTTTTTAAAGAATTTCAAAGTGATAAT